TTCTGCCACAATACATGTATGTTTCAAGTGTATGTTCTAAATATTTCATCGATTTCAGACATATGTGCAAGTGTTTTATCTAGATGTTGCAAAAGTAGATCTAGATTGTATATACATGCATGTTGCAAGTTTATGTTTCAAGTGTTTCAGGTGTTTCATACATATGTTGTAAGTGTTTTATCTTGATGTTGCATATGTTTGCAATAGATACACGTGTTTTCTTGATGCTTCAGACTATGTTACAAATGTTTCAGCTGTTTTTTATGAATGTTGCAAATGTTTTATCTAGATATTGCAAAAGTAGATCTAATGTCACACATGTTGCAATGGAACCCACATACCGTAGCCGCCTGCTGCAGCTACTGGGCGCCGCCGTGGGTCACCGTGCAGGCGCCTGAGATTGGCAGACGCATCACTGGGACCCACGTGTATGCAGGCGGTCCGAAACCGGAGCGCGGGTGCAGGTAGGCATTCGTACATGAATGGAGCGACGCGGGGGAAACGGAGCGGCGCGGGGCAGTCCCACATGCGCGAGCGAATCCCGCATACTCGCGGGCGTGCAGCAGGCGCGGCTCCGTGCGACGTTAGCGCTTCGGATAGGACATCCAGACGCTAGCAAGTCCGTTTATAAAACTACATTAAATAAGCTGATATGACATAATCTATATCTAATAATAAAGAGCCAAAATCTTAGCCTTTTCATCCACCTCCCCTGACTAACTCATTGAATGTAAAAATTGCCGTTGTTCGTTTGCAGCACTCCTGTTTTATTATATACAACATATACGGTTTCTTGGGATAGCTGGAATCCTAATTTTAATCAAATATGTACCTCTGATCCTGACTAATACGAATAGGAATTCTGACCCAAAACACGTCCGGTGATTGTATACAAACATATTCTAAAATGCATTGAAATATATGACATGATCATTAAATAAATCTATGAGACACAAGTCTCTTCCACGTTAAACAAAAAGTGATCGTGTATGCACGGGCATATTTTGTGGTAATATAAATAAAGAGAGACGGTAACAATTTTACGGGAGAGAAACGGGTACGTCAAACCACTTGTCTAACCCCACGCCGCCGTGCGGCCTGCCTCCGTGGGCGCGGCCTCTGCTCTGCCGCGCGGGAAACACCGACCACCGGCCCCACCGCGCGGCATGCTGGCCGTGTTCTGGCGCCGCGGCACCACGCAACGCAGGCACAGCGGGCTGCGAGGCCGACAGGGACGTACAGTACAGTACAGGTACGGCTAGGTAGGTAGCCCGTCGTGGCATCGTCAAAACGGCGTCGTCGATGATGGGCCGGGCAGACGGGGGCAGCCAGCCATGAATTCTCGCGCGTGCGCGCGCGCGCCATAGCGTGCTGCTCCGACTCCGAGAGGAGTTCATCAGGCAGCACGCCGCGTGCAGCTAATCAAACCAAGCAGGGTCCTACAACAGTAATGTAGATGTACGCTCTTTTTCGCACAATCAAGTGCTTGTCCACCACGGATACCGTATCGCCCATCGTCGTAGGGTAGCGCCATTGAATGGAGGACGAACGGGCATACGGCAGCTAGCGCGTCAACCCACGGACCTAAGTAATGGAGAAGGGTCGATCACGTCACAGTTCAAGTCCTGTAGCACGTCTCCAGTGTCACACAGTTTGGCACGCATGCGCTGCGGCCTGTGCGCCTGCGCATCGCAAACCGGCCGGCCGGTGTCTTTCCCTCTCACGCGGTCATGTCTCGGCAGAGTCGGCACGGGCGCGCGTGCGCGTGCGCTAGCTCGGCGGCTCCCATCAGGGGGATTATTGCGGGCGGCTCGGCGAGCTAGCTTGGTGTGGGAATGGGACTGATGACTGATCGACCCGCGCCGCGCCGCGCCCCGGCCCGGCCGAGTCGTTACTTTACTCCTATCCACGCCGGCGCACGACATGGATGGTCATGGTCACCGTCGTCGCGCCGAGAAGGCGAGTAGCTGCGGCTCGCGCGCGGTTCATATGCTCGGCAAATGCCGCGCACTGAGGCTGGGACCGGCAAGGCAAGGCCAGTCGCGAGCAGGACTGCAGGAGCTGTAAGCCTGTAACTGTCTCTTCAACTGTAGATAATTTGGTGCACCGGCCGGAACTGAAAGCAATCTACTCCTAGAACACGACGGGGCTCATCTCTAGCCGCACGGGTGTTTGACTCTTTGTTGCTTTTGCCATCTCTGCGGAAACACAAACGTGTAGTAGTACGAAGACTAGATGACAGCAACTTCACCCCCGATCATTAAAAAAGCAATACCACCAGCTTTGCACATGTAGGCGGTAGCAGTACCTGTTGGTATTCAGTTCAAAAAAAAACTTTGGTATTGTCATGTCCGCGAAATACACTACTACAATAAAACTTAACCGAGACGTTTGGTAAAGTGTCTCGGAGGCGGGTAGACATTTCAACCACCTCGGTTAAGACGGTCATTTTTTATTAACCAAGACGGTTAAAAAATAACCGCCTCCTAAAATCTATTAACCGATGTGGGCCTTACAAGAGGCCCGCCTGGGAAAATCAGGCCATTTTTCCAGGCGGCCCTAGGTTAATATGGTCAAGCCCACTCCGATTTAGAAAAGCCTATCTTGGGCCGCTTTATCCCTCGGAGTATATATATGGGACTCTAGGGGGTTTCACTCACTCATTCTCACTCTCATCCTCTCCTCCCTCTCCCTCAGCCCATTAGCCACGCCGAGCGACCACACCGCGGCGCCCCTTCTCCCTCCAACCACGCTGGCGCCCCTCCTCGCTCCCACCATGGCAGCGCCCCTCTTCCCTCCAACCATGGCGGCGCCCCTCCTCCGTCTCCCTCCCACCACGGCGGCGCGGCTCCGACCCCTTCCTCCCCGGTGGCGGATCCGGCCCCCTCCTCCTCCCCGGCGGTGGAACCGGCCACCACCTCCTCCCCTACTGCGGATCCGGCCCCCACCACATCCCCGGCGGCGGATCCGGCCCCCACCTCGTCTACGGCGGTGGATTCGGCCCCCGCCTCGTCCCCGACGGCGAATCCGGCCCCCTCCTCGCCCCCGGCGGTGGATCTGGCATCCTCCTCCTCTCTGGCGGTGGATGCGGCCCCCACCTCCTCCCCGGCGGCAGATCCAGCACCCTCCTCCCCCGACGGCGCTCCTGGTGCCTAGATTTGGTTGAGGAGGCGAGCGGTGTGGATCCGGCGGCGGCAGATCCCGGTGGGCGAGATTCGACAGCGTGGATGGGCTCAGTGGGCCCGTGGATAGGCTAGCTGGGCTTGTCCATGGGTTTCTTTTTTTGTTTTTTATTTGATTAACCAAGGTGAGTATTTGAACCACCTCGGTTAAGGCCACGATTAACCGTGACCTTTCGACCGAGGCGGTTTCTGTCTCGGTTAATACTTTTTGCCCGCCACGGTTAAGTTTTTCTGTAGTAGTGATAGAATGGAAAGACGGATCAAAGATGGAACATATCAAGCTATTAGTTTCTATTCCAACCAGTTGTTTGTCGTTTACTCTCTCTGTTCTAAACTACAAATCGTTTTGACTTTTTTAGTACATAATTTTGCTATGTATTTAAACATTGTCATGATTGTATATAAAAAAAAAGTCAAAATGACTTATAGTTTGGAACAGATGGACTATTAACATACTCCCTCCGTCCCTAAATAATTGTCGTGGTTGGTGTACGTGCCGCAAGTTTGATTCGATTTATAGAAAATATGTACAATATTTGTATCTCCAAATAAATTTATTAAAAAACTAGATTCAAAAACATTTCCAATGATACTAATTATGTACCATAAATATTAATATTTTTTAGTATATATTTGGTCAAAGTTGTTTCTCATGAAACAAAAATGATAGATATCTAGGGTCAGAGGGAGTAAATAATAGCATTTATTCTCATGATTGTGTATACAAAAATATGCAAGTTTTTAGTGACTGTGTATGATAAATATGTAAGAAAGGCCACATCATTATTTCTGAGAGCTCTAAACGAACTCCCTATTTTTTTTTTTTTGACAAAAAGGAAAAATATAACCGTAACACTTATATATCTGAATTCTCTAAATTTGACTTGATAATTCTCCCTCTCAACTCACAGATATGCACGTGCAATCGTGTATCCTATGCTTGATATTCATCTGAGCGGCCTCCTCAGCGGCGGTTCTCGCACGGTTTTCCGCCCCCGCCTGATTTCTGAGTTTTAGAAAGCAAACAACTATTGGACAATGTTACTGAAAGTCAAATTAGTGTTTCCTATTTTATTTTGTTCACTTGATATATATACAATAAAGAATTAAATGCACATACGTCGATTAACTTTTGCATGTGTATCACCTAGGTCAATGAACTTTGAAAAATGCATTTTGGGTTCTTAAACTTTTTAAGTGATTCACCAGAGGTTTATTATCATTACGACTTATAGTAGTAGTAGTAGTAGTAGTTGCTACCACGTCGTATGTGTATTTATCATTACTAGCATAAATAATCTCGTAAATCATATGTACCATAAATTAGTACAATAATAATAATTATCCTGATTTTTTTAAACTCATTATCCTAAATTATTTTTTTGAGCAGAATTATCCTAAATTATTGATGGACCATAGATTGGCCTTACCCAGTTACCCTATATATACGTGTGTATGGGCTGTGCAGCCTTTGAACAACGAAAAGCCTTTTTTGCACAAGTAGGATTCGCGAGTAGGCCTAGTAAAGGTTACAGTGCTAAGTGGGCAGGAAGCAGGATAACGTAGTGCTGCCGAAGTGGACAATTGTCTGGATGACTAAAACTGAACCCATCATCTTAAAACAAGAAGCCCAATCCGGCCAGCCGCGGCCCGCCAGATCAATCCAATCAATCCTAGCCGTCCGCTCCCCGTCGCCTCCCGGGCCAACCATTTATACCCCTATCGCCGCCGCCGCGGAGCTCTCCCCTCCCCTCCTCTTGCCCTTCCTTCCCCCCACCCACGCAGCCTCACTAGGGTTTTATCGGCGGCGGCGGCGAGATGGTGCAGCGCCTCACCTACCGGAAGCGTCACAGCTACGCGACCAAGTCCAACCAGACCCGGGTCGTCAAGACCCCAGGTTTGCCTTATCTTTTCATTCCTGCTCGATCTGGGAGGAGTCCGTGGTTTCTTGATCTGTGCTGTGTTCTTGGTTGTATTGATGGGTTCGCTGGATTCTTGCAGGTGGGAAGCTTGTGTACCAGTACACGAAGAAGAGGGCGAGCGGGCCCAAGTGCCCCGTCACCGGGAAGAAGATCCAGGGGGTGAGTGATTGATTGTTACCGCTGCTCTACTCTGCTCGGTGTGACGCTTTGGTCTTTGGTACCGCGGTGGGGAACTGGTAGCTATGTTTGTGCTATCTATATTGAAGTAATTGGTGTGAATTAGTAGATTTTAATTGCTTGCTTGCATGGTTTACATTGTATTTTGTCCTGCGATGGTATATGAATTGCGGTGACACGGGCAATTTGCTGCCACATTGTGCTTGTATAGGTCTATCGGACGATGTCTGTTGTTAAATGGGTCTTTAGGGGCTGATTGGTTGGCCTCCAGGGAACCTTCCTTGGTAGGAGCTGCAACCCCAGGCGTCCGATTTCGACTGCCTGAGGTCAGGATCACTGCCTGGGCAGCTGGTTGCCTGGGAAGCTTCCGAACAAACACACCCATTAACTAACTCTTGTCTAAATCTTTTCCTTGTGTAAATGGCAGTGCCTTGTGGAATTAAAGTACTTGGTAAAATAGTTACGCTCTATTGCTGCCATTTTGGGGAAAACATGTTACTTGTTAATTGTTACTGGCAACTGTTGTTTAAAAATAGTGTTCTTGCTTATCACATACTTGATTCAGAGTGACACATTATAGATCTGTCAAGTAATCTTTTCTGCTGCTTGCTTCAGATTCATCATTTTGTGTATATGTTATTTCTTAGGTGAGACTGTTTGCGTTAAACTGATAAGTTAGGAGAATGTGCATGTTATTTTTTAAACCCTGCTAAGTTATGACTTGAACTGTGAGGAACATGCTACAGATCACCTTCACAAGTTGGCTGACCCTAGTCAAACTTTCTTGAAGAAAATTGTTGTGTTCATATGTCCTATGTTGTATTTGTTTATTTACATATGATATTGTGTGTAACACTGAATTGCTTATCGGGTGAAATGGTGTGGTTGTGTCAACATTTTGTCAAGCAAACATTTATGTTCAAATGTTGGCACTGAAGCCAAATAAGATAAGTTGATTTCCCCCACTTTTCCCTGTTGATTAAATATACTATTGTCATGTTAGTTTCATCAGAATCATTTCCCAGGCCTTCTGCTTTTGTTTGAGGTTAAAGTTTCAATTGGTTGGTTACCACCGTATGTGCTAGCTTGTCTTCTATGTGTGCTTGGACTATTTATTTGGTTGTTTCCATGGCATAATATTCTCCATAATTCATCATTTGCTTCACATGATCTGCTAATTTCCCTGTCGGAACAGATCCAAAGAGTCACTGGAATTCATCTGCTGTGAATTTTTTCGCCTAATATATTGTTCCCATATCTCCAGATCCCCCACTTGAGGCCTGCTGAGTACAAAAGGTCTAGGTTGTCTAGGAACCGCAGGACTGTTAACCGTCCTTATGGTGGAGTACTCTCTGGAATTGCTGTTAGGGAGAGGTGAGTAAATAGAGGTGGATATATTGAGCCCAGGATCTGTCATCTTGGTAGTCTTATGAGTTACAACTACTCTATGCAGAATCATCCGTGCTTTCTTGGTTGAGGAGCAGAAGATTGTCAAGAAGGTCCTGAAAATACAGAAAACCAAGGACAAGACAGCTGCAAAGTAGAGCTCCAGGAATGGAAGCCTAGCACTGTTTTGTACACTGCGATAAGTAATTTTGGTGGATGGAAAATCTAGTTGCCTTGTTGAGCATTTAGCATGTGAGACATACCTGTTGAAGTGTTGAGTTTAGAGAGTCTGGACACTGGAATCCCGTTCACCTTTGAATTGTTGGAATATCGGGACATCTGTTCCCCTAGTTGCTTTGTTATGAATTCAGACCATATCTGGGTAAGATCAGCTTTGTCGAATACCTTCTGGTTTGTAGCATCTTTTTTCGTCCATGTTGCTCGTTGTTGCTCTTCATTTCCATTCTATTTCTTACACAACCAATGAACCTCGGTTTATTGCTAGTATCAACAAAATTTGCAACCATCATTTGATTGTTCGATCAACTATGAACTGCCCAAACCATTTTCTTTCTTTCCTGATGTTTATACACGATGGAATATCTATGCAAAGACTATGCAAAGATCACTATAAGGCATCGCGAAGGTGTATTATTTATTTTGTCGATTTGTCGATATATCATAATCATAATTCATAAGTACTCAAACAGGCTCTACATTTTCACACTGAAAGTGCAATATAATCCAGGCTGTGTCCATGGCACCCCTAGCCAAAACTGAATAAAATTGTCTCTGCGGCTAACAGAACATTTTCATAGAGTATGTAACGTAAGGCCACCGTAGACGATGATAGATATTGGTATGTTGATGTAATATTCAAACTTGCAGCATTTTCACACTGAAAATGCAATATTTATCTTTTGATGACACTGAAGAACTCAATAGTGTATGTACAACACAAGATTTCCTTCTCTCTGTTAGCTTTGCTGTTAACAATGCCTATATAGCTCATGGTATGTACATGGCACTCCTACAATGCCTATATGCCTATACAACTGAACAAAAATATATCAGCCTGTTCGCTTGCTCGTAAACGATCGTAAATTTTCAGCCGGGAACAGTGTTTTTCTCTCACACCAAACCAGCCAGCAGTAAATAATTCACGATACGATACGGCCTCCCGAACAGGCTGTATGTCTCTGCAGCTAACAGAAATGCTAACAGATGAAGGAAACTCACACTCGTCACAGCAACTGTAGACTGTACATGTACTGTAACCTATGAGATAGTACCTCTCACTCTCCGTAGTGCAATGCAATTTGCTAACTGACGCTGCCCTAGTGTGGCAGCTCAGTCTGGACAGCAGCTGGGCTAGTCAGGAAGGACTCCCAGGGTATGTTGCATCTCCACTCTGAAGAATATGCACCCAGATCAAACGGGAAGTTGATCCTCCCCGCAGTTTCCCCCCAGTCACTGCTGTTGGTGCTGAAGCCATTGCTAGGCTTCCTGGTGGACGAGTCCTGACTCCTGCCACCGATGCCGCCATTGACATCGGCAGAAGAATCGATGACGAATCCACTGAGGTGATGATCAGGATGCGCGCCGAAGAAGATTGGCGCCGCAGCCGCAGCCTTCTGCGGTGCCGCTTGCACTTCGAAAGGGAAGGTGATTGGGAAGTTCTGGGTTTCCTCGGATGGGCTGCTGTTGAAGTTGATGAGCTTGCATGAGGAGCCGTCCAGAGATGGGTTGTTACCCTTCTGCTGCTGCTGGCCATGCAAGCCATGTCTGCTGGTGAACTGAGCTGCAGGTGCAGGCGGTGCAACTTGCAGTGAGCTCTCAAGAGCAAACTCTGAAGCTTGCACTGACTGCAACGCGGTGAACATGTCTGCATCTGTTGCCCCAGACAGTGGAGGCCCCCAGGTATGCGACAGCGCTCGTTGTGCCATGGAACTGGTTTTCTTGAAGATCCTACAGATAGTCCAGGAGTCCTGTTGTTTGTGGTACAGAAAAGGACTTCATTCAGAACTTGCCAAAACAACATTTGAATTTAGCTCCTGAACTGAACAGGCACAATATGGATTGCCAATACTTACATTGAGTGGAATGGTCTTGTCGATTGGACGCTTGGGGAGCGAGGGATCGGTGAGCGAAGGGAGCCTAAACTCATGCATCATCCAGTCAGTTTTCATCCCTCTTGCTGCTCTCCCTTTGTAGAACACGAGGGACTTCTTCAGGCCTATGCACTTGGTGCCTTCAGAGGAGTAGATTGGCCTGTCTGTCCCTGTGGCCTTCCAGAAACCGGCTGCTGTGACTCTGTTTGGCCTTACACTGTTGCGGTATTTCCGATCCCTCGGGCAGTAGAAGTACCACTCCTTCTCACCGGTGCTCGCAAGCTCTGTTGATGAACAAAGAACAATGAAAAAGTTTATATTTCATAGAACTCCAAGACATTCATCATCCACAAAAAGGTCTACGTAGTAGAAGTTCTGAAGAAAGATGGCATCTTCTTACTTGGGAGATCCCATGGGTCAAACTTGTAGATGTCCAGCTGCCTGATAAGCTCAATGGAGATAGGCTTTTGCTGGATCTTCCTCTTGAGGTAGAAACTAACCAGCTCTTCGTCGGTGGGATGAAACCGGAAACCCGGCATGAGGATCTCATCTGACTTCTCCATGTTGATGTCATTCGTCCTCTCCTCCATATCTTACAAACTACTAAAGCGATGAAGCTTGAAGCCTTGCTTGCTTGCTGGTTACAAACTTACAAATTCTGCTGTGTACTACTTGTATGTGTAATATCTTGTGAATGGCTTTCAGGGATGAAGCTGCTGAGGTGAAGACAAGAGCCAAGAGCTGTATACTATTGCACTTGCAAATCTATTACACACCATGTGTATATATACCAAGGCTAGAGCTGCTTGAAATGACTAGATGAGGCCCACCGCTCTGAAGATTAAACAATTGTATCTACTTCCTTCTCTATTTGAAGCTGTCATGGTAATATTTTAATGGCGGATTAGTGACTCAATAAAGACAATCTAGGAGAAATAAGGCTGCCCCCGTCCCTTTCGGTTCACACTTTAGAATACCCAAGTACGGCAGTCAAAACAATCCTTAAACTAAGCAACTTCATCTACCAGTTTGAGCCTCCCCAGGTAAACAAAACAACTGAAAATACACCGTAGTTTTTTTTGTTGGCATTCAGATTTTCAACGGGGCCAGGAAGGAGATGGAACTGTTCTCAAGTAGTACTTTTATCTGCATGAACTTCAAGATTTATTCCTCCAGTATCTGGATCCAAAAATCCCTTCCCATGTAGCCTATGCATTAGTTTTGTCAGTTTGTGCTTTGGGATTCTAAAATAATTTGTGGCCACTAAATGCATTTTGAATTGAATTTGACATAATCCTAACCCAGAGAGAGAGAGAGAGAGAGAGAGTTCCATACAATCATACTGCTACTTGGTTTCTCTTGAGAAATTGTTTTCTGTTACCTACAGGCAGTGACGGCCTGACCTGTGTAACTTTCTCCATATGTTTATTGACTAGCTAGCGTGTGTGCCACTGCGAAGTGTTGGAAGGGAGAAGATTCTTATTCTAAGCACAGATTGTTACACTAAATTTTATTGAAGGTGAGTTGCCACGGTGGAAATCTGGTCCAATTTGCTCCAAAACAGTCAGCTTGCTTAACCGCATGCTGGCTGGTCCTCCTTCCACATGGCTGCTCATTCCATAGTCCATAAGGTTCCGTTTTTAAAAATACTACTACAGGTACAGGAGGACTTTTGAGCACGCTAGCATGTTAACTGGATAGCTGTGCTGAATAGGAGGTGAGCCAATCCTGATCCTGTAGTTCACACAATGTAAACACCGACTGTCTTTCGAATTTTATCCGGCGCAAAATTTGCTCTTAAAAAATGCAGAAAAAGTACATAAACCCTTGCAATTTAACATTTAGACTGCCATCTCGTCTGTTTAAATGGCTGCCTTGCTTGAATAATAGCTAAGGGCTTGTTCGGTTCCTCTGGATCAGATCCAAGGACTCAAGAAGAACTAAACGAGCCCAAAATAGTAGGCAGACGACTATTTAACATTTACCGTCTAGGAAGGAAACAACCGAAAACAGCATGTGTAAACTTATTCAAATACTGAAGCGAAAACTTTAATTAGTACTCTCTCCGTTTCATTTTATCTGGCACAAGTTAAAATGACACGGTCTCCTAGAATACACTTTGACCATTCATTTGCTTTATATTATATTATTTATGCTTATAAATTTATAATCATTGGATAGTATAATTCTTTACAAACTTAATCATATAAAGTATATATTATAGTAGTTAAAAATTATTAGCCTAATTATTGGTCAAAATTTTTAAAGTTTAAATCTTGATATGCGTGTGCGCCTGATAAAATGAAACGAGGGTAGTAGTAGATAACCTGCACGGTTTGTCTTTATGTTAGCTAGCAAAACCACACAAACAAGAGCATCCAAGATCGATCAAACGCTTTTAAATCACAATAGAGAATGACGCGAAAATTCTGCACGCGGTGGGAGTTCTTGCCTCCTCCAATCGCTGAAAAACAAGGTTTCGCCCGTGCGCGCGGGCGAGTCAAATACCCGCCAAAAGTTTTGTTCCATTCTCGTGTCCCCACAATTCCCGGCAACACCATTAATCGCCTTGCTTTGGGAGGGCAAACTCCATCTCGATTTGGAGCGCGTGATGTCTCCTTCCATGTCCTCGGATTGCAGGCCTGGAACCCCAAAATGTCAGAGCAGATTCGGGTCAACGTCAAACCCTTCAAACTCAAGCGAGCTTCCAAATCCTGTCCTTGGGTTGCTGCTTCTTGCATTGGAACATATGTCCATGCATGTTGCCCGTGTTGGTGTTGACAAGAGCAGATACGGTGTTTGTTTGCATGCTGAAGGTCTATGGCAGCAGAGAGTGAGCTATGTATGAACTGTTTCCAAGATTCGATTGGGTTTGTTTAACGCCGCACTGCATTTTCAAAATCTTTTTTGTTTCACCGTGGAGTATTCTCTTTTTTTAATATATTTTTAGTCCACATACACATTGTACCTATCTGCCTATATATTATTTTAAAATAAATCAAACAGAAGAGCTGTCGATTATATTAAAAATAAAAAATACAATAGAATACAACAAAATCAGATACCCAGGAAATATGAGCTTGTAGCGTCCCAGTCGGTGTTCCGTACTGCAAACAGAATTTCGTTAACCTCATTTCTTTCTTACAAAGCAAGAGTCGTACTACAAACAGCATTTCGTTAATCTCATTTTTTTCTTACAAAGCAAGAGTCGGCACGAGGAGCACATGTGCTGCTATAATACTTTTACAGCAACAATTCATAGTGCTTTAAATTTTGAGCCAATCGAGCTACATCAAGAAACAAGAATGAATGTATATAGGAACATCATAACCAAAGCATTGCTTTAGAATGATTCGTTAAGTGTATTCAAACTTTTAATATTGAAATTATTTCTAGTTGTTCACAAGATACATTTTTAACGCAATGAAAGGACCTCTGCCATTCAATTAAGAGAAAAGCAAATAAAGTTAATTATATGAGTGTTAAAAGGCACATAACAGGCTCCCCAACTTGCCGGAACACAAGAGACACGGAGAGCCCAAGAGCCAAAAGAAGCAGAAAAGAGCGCCTTTACAAGGCCCGAGCAAATGCCTTCCTTCTCAACACTAAACCATCTCAGACTTTAGTAGCAACATGTTACGCCGTTAATTTGTCGCTCATTGTTGAAGGTCGCTCTATTTCGTTCTTTCTAGATGTTCCACCAAATGTATATTACTGCTCCGCTCAAAGTGCATTTTTAGTCTTTAGGTATGGTTCTCGTCGTAGCTTCCCACCATTCAGCTATGGTGTCAAAATTTGATCATAGAATTTATTGTGCAGGCAGTGATGGGCAAGATGAGATCCTGTCTCATTTGTCCATTGCAAAGAACACAATTAACTTGATGCGGCCATTCACGAAATACTAATACTACTACAAAATACTTATAATTACCTACTCCCTCCGTCCACAAAAGAATACAATTCTCGTTTCTCGAGAAGTCAATCAGTTTAAATTTTGACCAAAATTATATAAAAAATACTAACATTCCTGATACAAAATTAGTATCATTAGATTAGTTATAGAATATATTTTCATAATAAATTTATTTGGAGATATAAATATTAATACTATTTTTGCTATAAACCTGGTCAAACTTGAGCTACTTTGACCTGCACGGATCCTATAATTGCATTCTTTTCTGGACGGGGGGAGAATTATGTTTATACAATTGGACTCCACTTACTGAACTTGAGAACTTGCAAAATCTAAATTGTAAACTTTATGAAATCAATCCAATTGTAATTTACCTTGGTCATCTGTGAGGAATGACGGTATATACATAGGAATCATCTAAATTTCTACGTTTCCTGGTAAAATTGTCTACTCACATTTAATACAAGAAAAGTGATCGATATGTTATAGCAAAGAGCAGGTTAATAGATACTCTAGACAAGAAAAGGTTGGAAGGGATTGGAGGAAGGGATTACCCCCTCAAATCATGTGGGGAAGAGATCACCCGAAGAAGCCAAAGATCATCTCTAGATCCTAGTCTCCAGCGCAGATAAGCAGTCGCTGTCACCTGTCATACACTGAACATTGTTTACACATTCCATCTTTATCCATGCACACGATGACACAAAAGACAGGAGTTTCCGTTCCAATTCTTCCAAAGCCACGACCATGGCACTTCTAACCGTTACAGCGATGGATAACAAATTGCTGAGAAAGTAACATGCAACATTCGATTCCTAATTTTCTTTCAAAAAAAAAAAAACCATCCCAATCCTAGTGTGTAATGTGTTCTCAGGAAAAAGAAACCATCCAAAAGATAGCACCATAATCATTTTTTTACCATTCAAATAACGTTACCAGGTAAGACACCAGCTACGGTTGCTGATTAATTATACAGTATTGAAGAAAGCCCCTGGGTTGCAATCTTGATGTCACTATCATTCACAGTTCTCTGCAATCATACACAAACGCCGAAGTGAAAAGAAACACCATCTTGGAAGATTGAGAGTCTGGTATACATAATTTTTTTTTAGATGGTGGAAATAATATCCCAGCCTGATGAGATGCTTTTGGCCAATCTGATATACATAAATGCCTGCTGGGAAAAGGGAAATGGGTCGAACTGACCTAGAAATACAAAGGAAAATATGGATCTTCTACATGTAGGTGAGAACAAATTCTAACCCCAACAGAGTTTCTATTTCTACTACTTTGCAGATGACTCCGTAATTCAGCTCAATATAGTCACTTTCGTGAAAATATCCCTTTGAAGCAGAGCACAAACAGTTTAACTTGGAAGACCCTCCTACATATCAAATCCATTATTAAATGCAAGTTTACATTCATATACTAACGTATTAACCAGACAGGTAAAAGCATAGTTCACTATCAGAATCACTACTTATCCATCTACTGCAATATCCTAGGGCACACTTGGTACTAATTTTCCCTATTGATTCTGATCAGGATCCATCAAGTATTATCTTTTTCATCTTAAAAGCCATCAAGCATGTCTTACTATCTATGGCTACATAACGAAGTGTTTGTGACCCTAAAGCATACAGTATGAAGTTCACACTGTTTGGATACATAAAAATAGAACCATATCTTTTATCTTGAGTCAGTAAGCAAGATAAAATGATCAGTATTTTCCTTGATCGATGGAAAGAATTAACGGTGACCCGAACAATTATATAAAGCTATAGGTGACAACTGATACTGGATGAGAACTTCGAATGAAACAAAATGGTATATTTTTGACTCCCTATAGACAGCTACCTGACTATTTAGTGCTCCTGGCTGGTGGCTACTGAGCAACAGAATTCATAAAGAATAAAATCTTGTAACAAGAAAAGTGTATCTCGGAACAGGAAAAAAATCTTGTAACAAGAGAATGGTGTGTGTATCTTTAAGTATGGCTAATATCATCAAATACATGGAGTGTGGAAAGCAGTTACAAGAACATTTTAATGATATGTTTATTTGGCCAGGAGTATGTGTTAACAACACAGCTCCCAATAAAAATATAAAAATCAGTACGGTGTATCAACTCATGGAGTTAATAAGGGCAATTGAAATAGTAGGTTAGCAACAAAGTGAATAGGGAAAACTTAATGGAATAGGAAAAGCACAAGAATTGAGGATCGTGTACATGATTGTTTAGGAATCCTAGAACAAGGGAATTCCTTAATAAAGTTGTTTGGATGGTTCACAAGAGTGACGCACACAGCACTGGCAAGAGATAGATTCAAAGGAAAATTTCTTGAGATTGAACGTCAAGCTAAACTTCCACCAAACATATTATGTTGTATAGCAGCTTCATCCAAATCCTAGGAGTCACATAAGATTTCTGTTTTCCCATAGGATTCTGTTCCTGTGAAATTCCTATATTCCAAACCTAAACTTTATGGTTTCATGTACTAGAAATAGAATTATATGCCTGTCATAAAGTATAAACAATTATCACAGAACTGGCTTCTGTTATTTAATTGCCTTAAATAAATGATTATACATAGCACGATTTCTTCTAGAGCTCTAAATTTCGACTTCATAACACAGTAAAATATTAACACACTTTAAGAAAAAAAGGTTTTTAATTAGATGCTATGCATCAATTCTAAATACACCTGGTTAAGCAAAGGGTTGTCTAAAGAACGTATTTCTATCATTGTGTATTTGATAATGACATACTCTGATACAAGAAAGCACAGGACGAAATCAATCTAACCAAGTTAAATCTTCAAGATGCCTGCAAAAGCTCCCTGATATCATACCCTTGCATCTGGAGCACAATAAGCACATTCATTAGTCTGATTGACTTCAAATAACCACATTTTAACCAGTCTGTTTAAGATTAGCTTAAACATATAACTTAAAAGTTAGATGTGTTGCCCCTACTCTGACCTGTACTCCAATGCTAACTGAATTGTACCTTAGAAGAAAAATAAGGGACTAGAACAGAATAGCCAGAAAGATAAGATCTACCTGAAGAAAGGTTAGCAACAATATTACTCCAGAGTTCCAGACAGCATGTATGGCAATAGGAGTTAGAAGATTGCGAGTTTGAGCATATGAAAATCCTAAGACAACACCTGTGCACACAAAATGGATGGAGGAAATATAGTCAGCAATAAATGTCAAATCATGCTAACACAATAATTCTACATATTATATGTGATCTTTTCAGTGTGTTTGGTCTAACTATGTTAAGATACAAAGATTTAGATATTGCACATTCTTTTGTGGTTTTATGACTATTATAGATGTAACAATTACCAAGCACAAAAAGCTGTGGGAATTCTCCTGGTGTAAGATGAGCAAAGGCAAACATTGCAGCAGTGATAAGCACAGCATATGGAGTAGAGAACCTGCATCAGAACAGTTTATTCACAGCTTAAAAATAAAAGTTAGATCGAGCCATTTAAAACATCCTACTTCTGAAGATGTTTTTTTTTGAAAGGAGAACAAAACATATAGTTCATGCATATTTACCACATAGTCAGGGATACCATAAGAAATCCTCGAAACACAGTTTCCTCCAGAATGGGTGCCAAAATCCCAGTGATGCCCAGCAAACAGGCAGTGCTGCAATAAAGGAAAAGATGTTAAACAATCAAGTAGTTTATCTTGCCTGACCTATATACAGACATGAACAATAACTTGTAATAGCTTAAGAAAAATGAGAAAACAGATAAATCATATGTCCATACCTAACGTTTGATGAGCCAATGAGCGGCAACAAAAGGACCAGCGAGTCCGTCTGAAAGACAAGGTTCAAGAACTGGATCACTATAGGTAATATTTAGCTAGTACACAAAAATGCTGCACTTTCACATTTATGTGGTAATATTGTGTATGCAAGAACTATACCATGAAATTAATATCTACATTTGTGTGTGGGTGGGTGGGGGGGCTTCTTCCCAGATCTGTTAACTTGCAATATTCATATTTCCTATAAATATTTTTTTTAGTTTTTCTGTCAAAATAGCAAAGGTGTATGACATCCGTACTGCTTAAGACATTTGAAGACTTTTAAAAAGGAAAGGTCAACAGAAGACTAGTTCTGGTAGCATAAAAGGCTGTACCTCTCTCTGTGGTGTTTCACCATTCAGAAATGTCATTGCAGCACCTGCTAAAGCAATAGCAACTATTGCAACAAATAGGCCGATTCCAGACCACAGAAGCCAACCATTTTGCAGCTTAAGTGGTTCCTTGAATTCTGAAAGTTTAAGGATACGGACATCACTAGACAGTTGTCTACAGCTTAAGAACAACCTGAATTAGCACAACACAACCATAGTACAAACAGAAAGAGTTACTATTGAACACAGATATCCAAATTAGATATTAAGTAATTTCATTGCACTTAAACATCATGTACAGTTCTCTTATTAAGTTACATAATCTTTGGAAAGGAACTAATGTGTGAACGATGTATAGGAAAGAACATGAAAATGAACATAAACATAGCAAGATCAAACTTTTACCATAGCGAAATATATCATCTGAGAATGGTCGAAATGTACTGGTGATGCCAAATATAACTCCAAGTACAACTACTGTCGTGCTACTGCACTTGCAGAAACAGAAAATGGCAAGTAATGTCACTCTTACACAAGATATTCAGAGCATGCAGCATATTCACAAAGTGAATTGAAAACTCTGGTGCAAATAAAGTTTTTACATAGAGATAGGAACTTAGATCTGTACAGTTGTCCCAAGAAGAGTATTTCTGCCTTCTCATCTAGAGTTGTCTCCCCAGCTTGAAAACCTAGTTGCTCCAAAATAGATTGCTCAACTACCCCTGTCAAAAGAAAGCTGTCTAAAGAACATTCAGCAACATTTTCAAGGAGGCATTTGCAACAATTCAATATGCTCTATTTATTTTGGATTACAATCACGCAAGAACAATAGAACACCACAAACTAGCCTCCGCATTACATATTTGCACAAATGGGGTTTCTTTTATTTCCCTTTTTGGAATGGAAAATGGATTTGTTCTTACACAACGTCATAATAATTGGAAGTGCCAATGCATGGTACCAATCAGCAAAGGTGTAGTATATTACCTTACTGCACATGCCACCATGGTGAGGGAAATCGTTGGCCACTCCCATGGAACATCCCACCGGCGAAGGACTGGCCACTCATCCAAGCTTTTTCCCTACCAAAATAACATCATGGCAAGGCAATTGTTCACGACTGACAACTGAAAACTCTGAAAAAAGCTCACAGCTTTTGGTGCTATGCGCCTGTGCCGACAACAGCATTTTCATAGCTCACGCACCTTATCCGGTGAAGGCGTTGGCAGTCCGTTCTCGGTGTCGTTGGAACAGTGGCAGGCGAAGCCCGTCGCCCCCATCCGCCGGCCGGTACCGGCCGGCCGCGGCACGAGCTGCTCTGCCACTGCCGCCACCACTGGACGGCGGCATGTTCTTGGTGAGGGAAGTCGGTGCAGGCTCTGCCTGGAAAGAAGGAGGTAGGGGGACCTGCTGCTGCGGCTGCGGCGGCGGCGGCGGCTGCACAGCGGCGGGCGGGGGCGGAAGAGGAGACACGGCGGCGAAGCCATTGAAACAAACCGTGGGACTTTGTGGATGCCACGCCCACGCTGGATAAGGAATTATTAGTAAGGAGCAGGGGGCCAGTTTGGCAACCGCTCCTCGGAGCTGAAGCCTGAAGGCCGAAGCCATTGGAAAAAGTTTGGCAAAATATGGAGCAGCTCTGCTTGGGCTCTGAATTCTTGTAAAATAGTTTCTCTCCATTGGAGCTCTAGTGTAGCTATGGAAAACGTTTACCAAGAATGACTTCGGTGCTAATTTTATTATAATTTATGTCAAGTTTGTGATGATAAACTAAGAGAAGTCACGTTTTCATGGCTCTAGTTCTTCTATAACAAAAGCGGCTCCGGCTTCTGCAGGCTTCTTCACTGTAGCTATTTTTTGAATGACCGTTTGACATAGCTTGGCCTGAAGCCAGTTCGAAACCACTCCAGCTCCTGCGCATTCCTTGCAAGGAGCCGTTTCTAATGACCATTTGGCACGGCTTCACATTAAGAGCCACAAGAAAACCAAATCCGAATTAATAGATTTTCCTTTTTATTTTTCAAACTTAAAAGACACCCATCCAAGCTATAGTCTACTTCAATTTTATCCTAGCTAACTTCAAAGTAAAACTTCTCTGGTTGTTATCAAGTTTATATTTAAAACGATGTATTATTATATCTGAAATAATTCTTGTATTTGTAATATACGTACATAATATCAGTTGGATTACTAGGGAACTCCATCTCAATGGCCATCTTTTTCCTGTTCTTCCAAATAGCCAAAGCGAGGCGTATTGATAGCTTGGGGGAATCCTATCGCACATCACCAAATTACCTACAACTGCAATACTATCCAATAACGGCAAAGATCTACAGGAACAGGAGCATCAAAACAAAGAGCATTCATCATTCATCCTTTGCAAAGTTTCAAACTTTTCAGCTTGATAGCATATAAGAATGTTACATTGGTGACATAACGATCTGGTTCTCACTGCTACAATACTCCAACATACAAACAAATAACGATGGTCGTCTAACCAAAATTGCGTACAAAAGGCGATGGACCTAATCGCTACCAGTAGAGGGAACCTTGCGCACTCTTGCGTTTGCTCTGCATCAGATCTTGTTGATCTTGGCTGCCACGACGAGCGGGTTGTTCTTGGCGGTCTTCTCCCGGCCCGCCGTCTTGAAGTCGAAGCCGCACGCGTGCTTCTCCGCGTACCGGTGCAGCACGCAGAACGTGGCGCCACAGCGGCAAGGGAACCCCAGCAGCCCCACCTTCTTGCGGCACGACGCGCACCTGTTGGTCCTTGTAGCCCCACCTTCTTGCGGCGGCGGCGGTCTTGGTCAGGTGGTCCTTGTAGCACTTGGAGCAGAAGTTGTTGGTCGCCGCGCTACCGAAGAACCCACAGCTGTTGGCGCACATCGGTGCCGCCGCACCGCCGCCGGAGACCGACTCCTGCCTCTCCGCCATCGATCGATCTTCTTGCTCGGTCGCCGCTTGAGCACACAGACGCTGAGACGCACGCACGTGAAAGCTAGATCGCTTCGTGCGCGACTTGTTTCATGGACGAGCGCGAGAGTTGGTGAATGCGGAGCGTGCCCGTCGCTCTCCTGTCATTTTTTTTAAAGGCAAATCACATATTCATTAGACACAACATTGAGGCAAATCGCCTGCAACAAGTTCACTTACAAAATCAGGGCTTTGGATGGTTAACAGCTCAGTATCATATGATAACATACCGACTCTATAAGTAGCCAAAGCATTAGCCACCTTATTACCACACCCGCTACAATTTAAGATAACACATGACGAAAATTCAAATCGCATTATTTGTTGGGCTTGTCGTATGAGGCCACCAGCATCACTTCGATCAATTCCATTCGCAATAACAGCAGAGGCCAACACAGAAGCGTCTGTCTCTATGATGATGCGCGGCATGCCCCATTGTGAAGCAAAAAGCAAACATTTGTATTCCGCCATTGCCTCAGTGTGTAGAGCTGAATCTGCATAGTTGATCTTTCCAGCCCCTGCAGCAAGCAACTCACCATGATTATTCCGCACAACAAAGCCCCAACCTCCTGTTCTTGTTTTTTGATCAAAAGCTCTGTCAATATTAACTTTATATATATCCTCATGTGGTGGCTTCTAGTTATCTTTGGTAGCTTGAATTGATTTCTTCTCGGACACGCTTAGTTTTTCAAACTCCATTTGAAAGTAATTGACAGAATTATTAATTTCGTCTGCATTCAGCATCCTTCCCCCGTCATTGGCCTTGTTCCTCGCTGACCACCACCTCCAAAGGAAAATTATAACCTTCAATTGAGTATCTTTTTCTAGCTTCCAAATAATATTGCAGGTTTCCCATGTTGAAACACAATTTAACAATTGAATCCTGATGTGTTCCATATTCATTAGACGCCAGCATAGTTTAGCATACTTACACTTGAAAAAGAGATGCCCGCTATCCTCATCAAGCCTTGTACAGACGGGGCACCTCGTGTCAATGACAACTCCGCACCTTGCTAAATTTCTTCGTACCGGTAAACTGTTATGAGCAAAACGCCACATAAACATTTTGACTTTGTTAGGTATATTGAGTTTCCATATTCTGTACCATTCGAAATCACTGTCATTTGTAACGGTCCCTGAAGTAGAAGCATCCCAACCAGCCAATGTATCTCTTCTTGCCATTGCAACCTTGTAGGCAGATTTGATAGAAAATAAACCTTTTGCATCAAAGTACTATGCAGGCCAATCCTCCAAATTTTCAGCAATTGGTATTCTTAAGATCTCATTTGCATCTTCCGGCCAAAATGTTTCACGAATAAGTTGCTCATCCCATACACCTGTTACAGGGTTGATAAGCTCACTAACTTTTATTAAGAGGTTAGTTCCCTTAGGTGTAGCCGGCTTTCTTGTCAACCCTTTGGGCAGCCATGGGTCCTTCCAAATTCTCACATTTTCACCATTACCAATTCTCCATATGATCCCCTCCTTCAGCAGGTCAACCCCTTTCAAAATACTCCTCCATGTATATGAAATACCAGATCGGGGCGAACAGTATAGTATATCTGAATTTGGAAAATATCTTGCCTTCAAGACTTGCCCATAGAGAGAATCAGGGAAGGTAATTAATCTCCACGCTTGTCGACTTAACATTGCCATATTAAATAGGTGCAAGTCTCGAAATCCAAACCCACCTTTCTTTTTTGATCTGGTCGGTTTTTCCCAACTTAGCCAATGTATTTTATTTGTTGTCCTGCTGACTCCACCAGTATCTTCCAATAATCATGTTCAGTTCCTCACACAAGCCCTTGGTAATATCAAAGGAGGACATGGCATAGGTTGGAATAGATTGTGCCACAGCCTTAATAAGCATTTCCTTACCCGCTTTCAATAAAAGTTTCTCCTGCCAGCCTTGAATCCTGGACCATCTTTTTCTTGATATACTCAAAGGTATTTTTCCTAGATTTTCCAACTGAAACAGGCAGCCCCAAATAACGCTCACTTGTTGCAACCTCTAAGATTAAGAGTGTAGTTCTCGTATGATCTTTAACACGCTGGTCAGTATTTGGGCTGAACGTAATTGTTGATTTATCTTTATTAATTACTTGCCCAGAAGCTCTTTCATAGACTTCCAAGATACGGCCTAGTTCTTGTGCATCACTTGCCCTTGCTCTCATCAAAATTAATGAGTCGTCTGCAAAGAAAAGATGGTTTACTCTTGGTGCTCCCCGGCAGATTTTAATGCCCTCAAGCTTGCCCTCCTATTCAGCTTTCTGTAACAATGCTGAAAGCCCTTCTGCACATAAAATAAACAGGTAAGGCGAAAGAGGATTACCCTGCCTTAAACCCCGTTGAGGGATGATTCGATGAGTGTAGGAATCATTGACTTTAATCTTATATGAGACCGAGGAAACACATTTCATAATAAGTTGCACCCATCTATGATGAAAACCCATCCTCCTCATCATATTTTCTAAGAAGGTCCACTTCACTCTGTCATAGGCTTTACTCATATCAAGCTTAATAGCAGCCAACCCTTTTACCCCCTTCTTTCTAGAATTCAAGTGGTGAATTAATTCGTAGGCCGACAAAACATTATCTGTAATTAACCTTCCTGGCACAAAGGCACTTTGAGAAGGGGAAATGATCTCAGACAAAAAATTCTTAAGCCTACTGGCAAGCACTTTTGAGATAAGCTTATATAAAACATTGCACAAGCTAATTGGCCATAAATCTTTCAGCATCTTTGGTGAGCTAGTTTTAGGAATTAGAACAATAATTGTATCATTCCACCCATCAAGTATTGGCCCACCATTAAGGACATCAAGAACTTCTTTTTTAACACGCTCTCCAATGAGAGACCAGAATTTCTTATAAAAGATAGAAGGCATACCATCTGCACCCGGGGCATTCAAGTCACCTATGCTCACAAGAGCATTCCATATTTCCTCTCCAGAAAATGGAGTGAATAAGGCTTCATTCATTTCTGGGCTGACTCTTGGGTGTACATAATTCAGCACCTCATCAAAGGAAGAATCTGCATGAGACATAAATAAGCTCTGATATTGATTAGTAATAAAATTCTTCAACTGCTCTCCAGCCACAAAATTCCCATTATCATCCATTAATTTTGTAACATGGTTTTTCCTTCTCCGTTTTGAGGCAAAAGCATGGAAAAAAAACCAGTATTCCGGTCACCTTTCAACAACCATGTGTTATGAGCTCGCTGCTTCCAGTAAACATTTTACTAGTCTTGCAAGCGTTCGAGCTTATAACGCAAAATGTGTTGCCGGTTTACTGATTCTTGAGAAATTCCCTATCTCCTCCACATCTCCAACTCCCTTCTCACCTTCTTAATTCTCTTCTCTAACTCACCCAACACATTTTTGTCCCACTCCTTTAACACCCCGAGAACTTTCTTCTGTATCGCCATTATGCAGTCACATCCTTCCTCCATCGCCCCTCTCCATGCCTCCACTACTTTGGTTTCACAATCCTCTTCTTCCAACCACCTTGCTTCAAATTTTGGTAACACCTCCACTTGCTCCCCCCATGCCATACATTCTCTTCTCCCCACATCAATTATAATTGGTCTGTGATCTGAATGTCTAGGATCTCCATTAGTAACCTTAACCAAAGGAAAGATGGATCTCCAAGCACTATTGGGAACGGCTCGGTCTAGCCTCTCCTTTGTAAAACTACTAGCCGAGCAATGGTTATTACGCCAAGTAAATGGATCACCCACAAACCCCAGATCATGAAGATCACAGTCCTCTAGTACCATCCTAAATTTCTGCATATTTGATTTTGCTCTCTGCGAGCCACCTTCCTTCTCACATCCAAATAAAATTTCATTAAAGTCTCCGCTGCACAGCCATGGCAAGTCAAATTTTGCCTTCAAATCACGCATAGTTACCTATGCGTTTTCCTTCTTATCATTTCTTGACTCACCATAAATACCAGTAAATCTCCATAGTAGCCCATCATCTTCCTTTATGATACTATCAATGTGGTATTCCAACAAGCTTTTAACCCCTACATCTACTCCTCTTTTCCAAAACAGTGCCAGACCACCACTTGATTTGTTACTATCCACCGTCACCAAATTAGGCATTTCCAGCTTCCATCCCAACCACTCCATCCATTTCCCATCATGTTTAGTTTCTGAGAGGAAAAGGACATAAGGGGCCTCCCGCTTCTGGATATCCAAGTCCTCGAATTGCCGGGCCGTTCCCCAATCCCTGGCAATTCCACGTTATTAGCCTCATTTTTGCACACGAGGCTGCTCCAGCAGCCCCGCGTTTTTATTTTTCATCTTTTTCAAACTCTCAAAATCCCCACTATCACCCTTTATTTCTTGACAAGACAATCTCTATGGATTCATCGGCACAAGGGCCAAAGATTTTTCCTTGGGCCTATTCTTCATTAAACTCATGTCAGACTTCCCTTTTTTGGTGTTGGAAGGAATCAGCTTATCATCTATAGAAAAATCATCCACCATCGTATCATCATAAGACCCACTAGCCAAGTCAGGCACCTCATTTTCAATTGGTGAAGAAACTTCAGCACCCTCGTCCTCGCCATCTATCTTGCTAACATCTCTATCGTTGTCATTACTCTTCTTTGTGACTGATTTGTTAGAATCTAAACTTCCACAAGCTCCTGATGAGTTGCTCCTTCTAGCTGAGTTCCCTTGAACATACCATTCGCCCTGACTTTTTGTCCTTCTATCCTCTGGAGCACGTAGTTTTTCACTGTATGGCAAATTTCCATTTTCATCTCGAGTAGCTGGTGTGGGACAGTCAATTTCTGAATGGCCAATTATTCCACATGAAAAGCAGAAGAAAGGAACTCTCTCATAGACCACATCGTACCATTCCTTTCTCTGTCTTCGAGATGAGAACATAGAAATACGTCGCGGCAAAGGCTCATTTAAAGAGATAATTATCCTGGCTCTTAGATCC